CACACAGATTCCCATATTGTTTCATAGATGGCGCTCTATACAAATTTTTGATTTAAATCATTTTATATTATTTTGATAAAAAACATGGTTATTAAATAATAAATCACTTACCTTTTCATTGAAGTTTTATCAAAAATGTATTGTTTGAAATAAGAAAGTTATTGGTATTTAGAATACCAAAAAAGTCATGTACATGAATTAAAATTGAAAAGTCTTTATAATATTTTGGGAAATAAAAGCAAATGACTCATTTTATTAATTAATTTATTAAACAGATAAATCAATTTAAAAAATATTATATCACAGAGTCAACGAAAATAACTTATAAATAGCTGAAATAAACATATAATAAAATATATTCGCACTAATAACATTTACATATATAAATAAACTAATGATATATTATTTTATAGTATATATACTACAGTAACTCTAAATTTGCTATATATATATGTTTTGTATATTATTCATATTGTATTCGATGTAGAGTGCATTTTTTTAATATATCGAATAGAAAATCAAAACATCATAAAACACTATGTTTATATAATTATATATACGTTTATAGATATAATTCATTTGCTGGTTACCAGCACTTGGTATCTGTATAAACTACTGTACAAAAATAGGTATTTTCAAGTGTGGACAATATGTACAACAACGTCATCAAAATATTTGGTGCATACTACAAAATTATTTAAATGACTTTGATTATTGATTATTAGGAAGCATTCAATTTTTTACAAAAAATGTTTAAATTACTTATAATATTCAAAGTTTTATTTTATTATTAATATTTAAAAAGTTATGTACTAATCAATATAAAATAACACCAGATATTTTGATGATTTAAACTTGAAATAGTACCCATTGTAACTATATATTAAAGCCTGGACCGCATACAGCTGTTGCTATGACAACAGCTCATTAATAATAAATAAATAAATATTAATAGTATTTGCACAACATGGACAATAACACATAATTTTTATAATATACATTATTATTATTATGGTTTTGAGAAATTATTAGTAAAAAATCAAATTAAATGTAAGGTCATATCCATGTATTGTATGCTCTAAGATACTTTACCGTAAAATATATAAAACATGGATTAAAAATAAACTGCGTATTTCTTTAATTACCACATAAAATAAAATATATTAAGGTTTCTTATGGTTGGTAATAAACATTATTTTACTGCCAAAATAAAGTAAAACTGAAATAAAGCCAATAAAATCCAATTACAGATTAAAATGAGGCATGTCATACCATAAAATCTTGATTTATCACTGATAATTTACTTTTTACATTTTGATTTTATTTATTTTTTTGAGAATATTAAGAGTAAAGTGGTTGAACTATTATGCTGGAGGGTTATTTTTATATCCAGCCGTATTATCCAACTTTACTCTACAAAAAACAAAATTCATAGATTACTTACCAAATCAATTATATCGTGATGTTCCCTTGTCTAACCCTGTATATAACATTCATATAAAATTTCCACCCCAATCTTCATAATTTTTACATATTTCAACTACATTGTATAAAACTCAAATTTAGCCTATATTGATTTGGTCAGTTTTTAAAACATTTTTTTCAGTTTCACAGACGTATGTACAATTTGTTTACAAATACAAATAAAATTGTTAATAGAATTTCAACAAAGCTTTTAGCATTCGTATATTGTTGCGGTAGACTTATTGTCTAAACAGCTTATACAAGTTAACACAAAAATGCTGCAAACTTTCTAATGTTGTAAAATACGTATATTAAAAGAAATACTTGTAAAAAGTTTCAATTATGGCGGATGCGCCGGGTACAGGACGTTTTATGAAACAAAACTTTTAAGTACTAAAAAAAAATATTTTTTTTCAATTACATTAATTTTACATATTTTCTACATAATATATATGTTTAAAGTATGTTTATATTATATCAACACCCGTTTTTTAAACCACTGCAAATTTTAAACAAATTCTATCGATTAATTTAAATGCGTTTTGGTTTTTGTTAAACCCATTCTACAAGATTTTAAATGGTTATACACTCACAGGCAAAATAATCGATCCACACAAATTTTCGATGAATTTCAATCGCAAATAACTTTGTTATTTGATGTCGGATTTAAACGAATATTAAAGAATATTGTAGATAAATTAATGGACAATTGCTCACATTTTAAAAAATAGGTGTACGTTTATAATATACAGGTTTAAACAAAAAGATGTTTTTACCATAAGTTTAAGACACTCTGTATAGTGGCAAAACCGTATATTGTTCTAAATTAAGTTTTATTTATCTAGTCACATCTATTCTTAACAGTTTTGTTTTTGGTTCACCTCGATATATTTATTTTTGTGGAAAATATGGATTTAAAAAAAACATTGCAATTTCCAATATTTTTTTGTATGAAGAACTAAGGTTATTATGGTCCATCCATAGGCTATGGAGAATGACAGTGACAGTTTTGTTGAATCATCCCATACTTGGACATGTCATACACGGCTTTCAAAAGTTATCAAATTGTTTTTTGCAAATTAATGTTTAAATTTTAAGGTGTTTTCTTACTTTCGTACCGACTGATGTTGCCAGAGCCATTAATTAAATTCAGGATGGACGGTCACAGTATTACGTGGCAAGTGTTTTAAACGTCACAAGAAGTAAAGTACAAAGGGCAACATCAGTTGGAGACATTTTTAAAATTAAGAAGACACCTCAAAATTAACACATTAATTTACAAAAAACAATTTGATAGCTTTTGAAAGCTGTATATGACATGTCCAGTATGGGTTGATTCAACAAAACTGTCACTTTCTCCATAGGCTATGGATGGACCATAGCAACCTTAGTTCTTCATACAGGAAAAATATTGGAAATTGCAATGTTTTTTAAAAAAATCCATATTTTCCACAAAAATAAATATATCGAGGTGAACCAAAAACAAAACTGTTAAGAATAGATGTGACTAGATAAATAAAACTTAATTTAGAACAATATACGGTTTTGCCACTCTACAGAGTGTCTTAAACTTATGGTAAAAAACATAGTTTTGTTTAAACCTGTATATTATAAACGTACGTTTTTTTTTAGTAATTTTTAAAATGTGAGCGATTCTCCATTAATGTATCTACAATATTCTTTAATATTTGTTTAAATCCGAAATCAAATAAAAAAGTTATTTGCGATTGAAATTCATCGAAAATTTGTGTGGATCTATTATTTTGCCTGTGAGTGTATTATTTTTCTGAAAGTCTTTTCTATTAAACGCTAGACTGAATATTAATACCTGTTTTATAATTTCAAGTCACACTCAGGCTGTATGTAGGGTAGATTTTCGTAAAGACCCTGCAATTAAGGGACGTTTACAAAATAATAGAATAATTTTAGAAAACAATTGAAAATTAAACAAGAAATGAGATACTAAAGGTCATAAAACGTCATAATAAAATTATCGTGCTTTGTTTAGGATTTTAATATGTTTATTATGCTTTTATATGGCTATTAAAGATTTTATGGGGGTATTAAACGTGATAAACTCTAATAATAATAGGATATTTGGTTCTTTAGATAATTTCCGTAATCAGCAGGTATTAATATAATAAATATTGAGTTTTGTTATTTGATATGTGGGTCCTTTTTTGATTTTATAAATGTATTGGCATAATTTAAAAGACTTTCAGAAGAATATTGCTGGTCTGTTTCACTTTTTTTTCATAAGACGTTTTAAATTTTAAAAAATATATAGTATATCTATGTATTCATAGCTAATTGACATCAAATCCAATATATTTCTTACTAGCTTTTATATATGTACTTATAAATACCAATAAATAGACATAAAAGGTTATAAACCTTACAAACCATGTTTTATTTAGGTTATACATACATATATGTGGTATAGTATTTTATTCAGTTATTTCCAAAAATAAAGTGAACAAAAACAACTTAATTAACTCAGACTTAATTTACTAAATAAATCTTGAAGGAATTGAATTTATATCGAACGAGCCAATTAAGAAAGTATTTGAACAGTTTCCCAGCCTGGAAAAGTTTTTTCGCAAAAAGTTTTGGACCTGGAATTGTTTTTTGCCCGTCTGCATATTTGACTGTACGTATGGAAAATAACAATTTTGATGAACTGGTTGAAAAAAAAATTGTGCGTTAGTAAATTGTTAAATTTACTAAATTAGAAAATAGAAAAAGCTTGGAAGTGAAAGATTTAATAAAGAGTGTCCATAGGCTACGTAAAAAAAGTTTTATTGGATACACACGGTGCTGTTCTGAGAGGTGATTTTTGGACTTTCTGTGAAACCTAATTTTTTTTATATTCTTGTTAATTAGGTCATAACTAAAATTTTAAGAGTAAAATAAAAAAAATTTGACGGTTAATTTTGTTTTAATTGGATGTTTATTAAAAATATGTATGCACACTTTCAATTCTCCAATTAAAACTTGCGATATATTTAAATATTATCATAACTTTTTAAATCAGATTAAAGATTAGTTAATTTCCTAAAAAAAGGTCTATACATTTTTTATATCTTTTACTGTTTTGTTGTAATACACGTTTATTAAACAATAATTCTAAGGGTGCCACATTTTATTTAGGGCCGATTTATTCATTTTTGATTTATTTGACGAATAATTTCTTTGGATACTGGATATTGCCAAGACATGAAAGTTATCGGACCGATAAACTTTACTAAGGATGAATAAACCGGTCCTTAGTTAAATTTCATGAATTTCTTCGTAACTTTTACTACAATTTTTAATTTTTGTTTATAAAAAACACTTAAAAAAACTAAACAAAAATTATAGAATACGTATACTGAAAATGACAATTCAAACGTCAAATAAATTTTTAATAGATCTAAGTTTCATGGCAACCTTTAAGGATATATTAATTAAGGGAACATACATGTATACGTCAAAGGTTAGATTAAAAGTTTGAACGTTTATTGCAAGAAAACAGTAAAATATATAAAAAAAATTGTAAAACCTTTTTTTTAGTTATGCAAATATTAAATATTTAAATTAAATCGCCAGTTTTAATTGGATAATTGAAAGAGTGCATAATATTTTTAATAAACCGGCAATTAAAACAATTCAAACCGTCAAATTTTTTTTATTTTGCTCTTAAAATTTTAGTTATGACCTAATTAACAAGAATATAAAAAAAATTAGGTTTCAAAGAAAGTCCAAGAATCACCTCTCAGAACAGCACCGTGTACACGATACACAAAAACGGGCATTTGACGTCACGTGCGCACCAGATTAGAATGATACATACTGTTTTGTATGGGCTGTTTTTTCCGATTTTTTTTTTTAAGACACTCTTTAAGAGTAAATTAAGTAATAAATTACCATCGAATGAAAACATTTCTACATTGAGCAAAAAATTCAATGATAAGTGCGGGGTACGTCCCACAGCTCGAAATAGTCGGGAGGGTTTTTGTGCTATTTGTACCTGGCCGGACCAAGCCATGGGCAACCAAACAACTGACAGCCGGCGAGTACAACAACCAGAAGCACAACAATCCCTATCAAGGAGTACATGATGCACAAGTGCACCAAAGAGAATACGTACAGAGTGCGGTGGCACCATCTGTTGGGATCGAACAGGGTCGGCGCGTAATCGGGCCACTTGATTCTCAGGATCCAGTAGTTGCCCAAGGCGAACCACGTGATCAGTAGTACTGTCAGCGCGACCGACGCCACCTTGGATCCTATGGAGGTGGCGTTGTTCATGGTTGCCACGTCCAGTCGACGCGTGTGAAGTTGGCTGTAGAGGGTCAAGCCCATTTTCACGCAGCCCACTCCCCCGCCCACTACCATGTAGATGGGTATGTTGGGCTCGCGCGGACAGTCCCGCAGAAATTGAATGCCTGGAACAAAAGAATTATTTTTATACTTACACTTGAGCTTACTTCGGCCCTGATATGGTGCAGAAGTCTCATTTCCTATCTACTTGCTGTACTACACAATAAGTAGATACAAAATGAGGGTTCTATACACTCAGATTTCAGATTTAAGCAAAAATTAAAAAATATTGTAGATACATTAATGGAGAATCGCTCACATTTTAAAAATTACTAAAAAATACACGTACGTTTATAATATACAGGTTTAAACAAAAAGATGTTTTTTACCAAAAGTTTAAGACACTCTGTAGAGTGGCAAAACCGAATATTGTTCTAAATTAAGTTTAAATTATCAAGTCACATCTATTTAAACAGTTTTGTTTTTGGTTCACCTCGATATATTTATTTTTGTGGAAAATATGGATGTTTTATAAAAACATTGCAATTTCCAATATTTTTCCTGTATAAAGAACTAAGGTTGCTATGGTCCATACATAGCCTATGGAGGATGACAGTGACAGTTTTGTTGAATCATCCCATACTTGGACATGTCATATACAGCTTTCAAAAGCTATCAAATTGTTTTTTTAAAATTAATGTGTTAATTTTGAGGTGTCTTCTTACTTTTAAAAATGTCTCCGACTGATGTTGCCCTTTGTACTTTACTTCTTGTGACGTTTAAAACACTTGCCACGTAACATCCTAGATTAAATTAATGGCTCTGGCAACATCAGTCGGAGACATATCCATTTTGTAAAGTAAGAAGACACCTCAAAATTTAAACATTAAATGGCAAAAAAAATTTGATAGCTTTTGAAAGCCGCGTATGACATGTCCAAGTATGGGATGATTCAACAAAACTGTCAATGTCATTCTCCATAGCCTATGGATGGACCATGGCAACCTTAGTTCTTCATGAATACAGAAAAATATTGGAAATTGCAATGTTTTTTTTTAAATCCATATTTTCCACAAAAATAAATATATCGAGGTGAACCTAAAACAAAACTGTTAAGAATAGATGTGACTTGATAAATAAAACTTAATTTATAACAATATACGGTTTTGCCACTCTACGGAGTGCCTTAAACTTATGGTAAAAAACATCTTTTTGTTTAAACCTGTATATTATAAACGTACGTCTATTTTTTAGTACTTTTTTAAAATGTGAGCGATTGTCCATTAATTTATCTACAATATTCTTTAATATTCGTTTAAATCCGACATCAAATAGAAAAGTTATTTGCGATTGAAATTCATCGAAAATTTGTGTGAAAGTTTCAATCTTTATTATTCTTTATACCTCAAATTAAATATGAAAGAAATCGCTTCCGAAAACAATATCATTCAACTTGCAGCCTTGTGTATAACTTATAAGTTTCCAATTGCACTGAGAGACACACAAGTCCCTGGATAATTTACTAGGGGTTATCCCTGAACTCCGACTCATCCCTGAACCCAAACGGGAGACTTAACGTACGCAATAAATAATACATGTGAAATGTTTTTCCGACAAAAACAAAGAAGAGCTGACAAGGGTAATATTTCCAGTTGAAAATATTTTCGGCTGAATATACATACAGGGTGAAATTCATTCAAGGTACATCACAATTATTCCAATAGCACGTCAATTTTACGACAAAATCTGGCAGCTTGTAGCTAACAATCAATAGTATATTCTTTTGTAGCAAGACAAAAGTTTCTTTTTTAGAAAGTTCCTAAGCTTTTCAATTAAGAGATGCAGTTTTCATGTTAAAATCCCATTTTTTGCGCTAAAATACGTTTTCTTCATTCAAAATATCAACGTGAAAATAAAAAAAAATGTTAATGTATTTAACTTAAAATCAGAACGTAATTGGTACACCATTTAATTAATTCCTTATCGAAATCCAGAAGATTTTAATCTGCCGTCGAAAAAAAGGTAATTTATTCGAGCAAGGAAATTAGACACAAAACCCAAAAATAATTACATTTGTAGGACTTGGGCTGCATTCAAAATAAGACTCGCCTCGAATTTGCGAGAGTCGAGTTTCTAACTATTGCGGTCGTATAACTTAAGAGCACTTCGGATGTCGCGTAAATTTGTTGCTGTTTTGTTGGGACCACTACAAAATGAAATATAACATTTATGATCGTGATAGCGACATACTTTTTTGTATCAGATAAGAAATACTGTTTATCTTCACGCGGTCTATAATTTAAACTTTATTGTTGTCAACATTCGATAAAGAAATACCTTGTTATGGCCTAGGCCGATAAAAATTTTTATGAGGCAAGTAATTAGTTCGATTTTTTCTCGCTAGGGGTATTGTTTTGACAAATTAATCCTTTTCTAAGAAATTAACGTACTAAACTGGTTTAATTTATTTATAATAAGCACTAATTTGTTTGCTTTACTGTTAATGTTTAATATTTTTCATTAAATTATTGTAAAATTAAATATGAAAAATAAAACAAAAAGTGAGGTTAGGCAACTGAGAAAACGCTCGATTCTTTTTCTACGATTTAAATTATCTTTAAGTTTTAATTTGCTTTAAGTTTTCAGTGAAATTAAATGTTAAACACAGCTTAAACATTCCAAACTACCTATTTTTTAAATAAAAATCCAAACAAATTGAAATTAGATACCTACCTATTTATTAAACAATTAATTGAATTCAATGTAATAGCAAAAATCCATTTCTACTTAAATCATGTTGCTAGGTATTGTCAAACTATTACTGCTTCTAAAAGCAATAATGATTATTGTACATTTAATGTAATCTTTGGCTAATAAATAAATGAGATTCTAAAAAAGTGAGGTTAGGCCGCTTTGATGTTGAATTAAATTAGTCTCAAAAAATGGCAGTACGCCTTTTATAGGCAACAAGTACAGCGACAGCGGTAAGAGACAATTAGCCACCGTCTACCGTCCAGTTCTCACAGTAGTCACGGTTTTGGCAATGGTTAAAAATTAACAACATAATTCGTATAATCTTATAAATTTTAAAAACCACATTAAGTGTGCGGTTTATTGCCTTAGCACACATTTCACGAGCGAAGCATATAAATTTATAAATTGGTCCGTTCGTAAAATAGATGTCAAGCTGATATAAAATTCAAAGGATTTCCTTAAATTTTAATTTGGCCGGTTGTATTTCACGCCCCAAAGCATTTAACTTTCAGATTTTCTTTTTTTCAAGTATTTGAGCAGCCGTGCGAAATATTTTACTTACGGCGTTGTTGAATAATTAAAATATAAATCTTCTGAGCACTAATATTTGCGGACGTATTTTATACCTTCGTTAACGTTTAATTTAATTAAATTAAACTTTCCAGATATAAGAAATTTATTTGGTATTGACATTTTAATTTTTTTTAGCAAAAGTTAAAAATTTGATTTTTGCAAGGTTTTTTCACAAAAATTTATCGCGCACCATATTAGCTACGAAAAAATGTTGAAAAAATTCTAGGTTCTTGTTTCTGAGTAAAAAATTATTAAAGTTGCTAAGACTACACGGGATTTTATTTTATTATTGCTAATGTGTGTTGTAAATGTTAAAAAATTGATTTCGATCGATTTTGTTAATTAGTTACATTGATTTATTGATTGTAATTTTTAATGTTTTTTTTTAATTTTTGTATTAGAAACTTTGACATTTTCTTTAAATTCTCTGAAATTTTCGGAATCGCGTTTTTTTGTTTTCATATTTTTTTCAATAGAAAAAAACTCAGCTTACTTCTCATAATACCACTCTGGAAATTTTTAGGGATGTAGAGAGAACCTTAAAGTTGAAAAAAAAAATTGAAGTCGTATGCATTGAAAACATTTTAATGTTTTTCGAAAAAATAAAACAAAAAGGAGTTTTATTTTGACCTTGTTCGTGTACGCATCGTTAAAAAAATAAAACTAAATTTAGTCGTGAAACTTAAACTCAAACAGTGTAAGGTGTCACATAATGGAAGTGGATGATGAAAATGCAGAGGGAGAATTTACCATACCGGCCTATAATAAGAAAAAACGAAAAAAAAATAACGACTCAGATACCACTGAATACACAGAAAACGAGATCGCCGAAATTATAGGAGTAAACAAAAACAAAAAGTATACAAAAACAACAAGTGATAAAAACGCTCGTACAAAAAACCAAGCATACCACACACAATCAGATTCAAACACAAGTTATAAAGCTACTCATACACGTCAAACAGCAGAAACAAACAACAATCCTACAACAAGTAACTCATCACTTTCACCGAAAATGCAAGCTATATTTAGAAAAACCTATGAAAACGTTTTCTATATAACTGCTCCAGATGAACTAACAAGAATCCAACTGGCGGACAAATGGGCAACCTACTTTAAAAACTCAAAGGAAATAATCTTAAAAACACAAAAAGGATTTATTATCAAATCAAACAATAACAAACAAAACACCTTAGCTACCCTTAAAATATTGAAAGATTGTGGTTTTATTAACACATACGAATTATCCAATAATACCCCACAACAAACAACTTCAAAAAAAATACATAACCAATCCTTCTCGGCAGTGATATCGAATGTTGACATAGATATTGAAGAAAAAGAAATAAGTGTTGTTTTAAAAGATAACGGAATCGAACACAGGTATTGTAAAAGAATAATCTCTAAAAAAACAAACAAACCCTCCTTATACATAAGAATAATTACAGGAGAGATTAAAGCATATGAAAAGATAATTAACGAAGGGATTTACTACAAATTTCGTTACTATCCAGCATACCCAAGTCATCCTCCTGAACCGCTACCAATACCATGTGCAAAGTGTTCCCAATTTTCCCATACAACTGAAAATTGTAACACAGAGGCAAAATGCTCGAAATGCGCCGGAAATCATAAAGATAGGGAATGCAAAACCAATTTACCCCCATCATGTACAGCTTGTAGGTCTACAGAGCATGTTGCTTGGTCAATTAAATGTCCAAAACGCCCCATGAAACCTATTGAAGGTATTCCAAACATTAAAATTCGTTCCTTAAACAAAACTACAAGTGAAATAGAC